AGGTTGTAGTCAGGTGGGGGCTGGTCTTATCTCGCAGGCAACTAGTAGTAGGACAAGAGAGCACAGACTCAAGCTCTGCCAGGGGAGGTTTAGGTTGGATATTAGAAGGAGATTTTTTACAGAGTAATCAGGCATTGCAATAGGCTGCCCGGGGAGGGGGTGGATTCACCATTCCTGGAGGTTTTCAAGACAAGACTGGATGTGGCACTTAGTGCCATGATCTACTAACAGCAGTGGGGTTGGACTCGATGATTTTTGAGGTGTCTCCCAACCTGGTTGATTCTATGATTCTATCTCAGTGTTGAGGAAAAAGGGGTTAGAAATCAATCTGAGGGGACTAGAGCGCGGCAAGGCTTCTTGACTTCTGCTACTTAGTGTTCCAGCCTTTAAACAACATCTGGTGGTGTAGGAACTGCTAAGGTAGGTCAGACCACTCTGGTCTAGATAATCCTTGAGCTGGTCTCCTTTGGTGCAAATACTGTATGCTTCAGAAGAGGGTACAGAAGAACCCCACAGCTGTACTGAAAGGTTTTGATGAGGGGCTGTTTCTTTGTGGACAAGGGATGGAATAGCGAGCCAAGCACTGCAGGCAGGTTTGAATGTTAAATTTGAGGATGCAAACTCCTGGAAGAGCATTTAAAACCATATAAATGAAAGTAGAAAACTTCCCCCCCTAAACCAAACAAACACAACTCTCTCAGTCTTATTATCTCAAGCTTTTGAGAGCAATTAGGATATAACAGAAATTGACTACTAGTAATGTTTTAATACTGCTTTGCAGCTGTTCCGTGTGTTGTAGGGGAGTGGAGTCACTGGAGTGGCTGTGCAGAACAATGTCATCCTGGTCTGCGGATACGTAGGCGCTATGTACAGCAGGAACCTAAAAATGGTGGAGAACCTTGTCCTGCCCTGGAGGAGAAGGCTGGCTGCCTGGAATACCTGACATACCAGGGGGAGGACTGCGGCCATGAACATGGTATTCTGTCTTTATGTGTGCATTGTGCTCATCAAGGCTGTCATAAATTTCACTGATGTCAACAGCAAAAAAATCCAAGCAGCTAGCTTGTTAAAAATACAATTCAAAACTTTATTTTCTACTGTCATATTGCTCTTTTTCTCCTACTCTGGATTTTCTTCCATTAAGTAAAAAAACTAAGCTGCATGAATTCCTTCAGTTTCTAGGTATAAGTCCCTTGGTAAGTACCAAAATATCTGTGCAAAGTTAGAACACAAATTCAGTATGAAACAGGAAAAAGTACTCCTTGTAGGAGTCCAGCACATCCTATTTCCTCACAGACTAGTGGCATGCATTTCTAGATACTTTCCTTCTGAAAAGAGAGAACTTAGCTGTAGGAAATGGGGTTGAGGTCTGATGTTGCCAATGTTTTGCCACTTTTTCAGTAAGGTCAGCCAGCATCACCATCCACAAGCTTGTGACCCATTCCCCCACTGTTACAGTAACTGAAATATGACTTGGCTGTGTCTTGCTGCCTTACCACAACTGTTTTCTTCCTCAGTCTCTGCTTTCATAACTACCTCTGAGTATGGTAAAGAAAGGAAACGACGAGCAGCATCTTCTCCCTGGCTTTCAGACAAAGATGAAGCTGGGTAATCTCTTTATCATATGCATGTGGGTCATCTGGTTCAATAGCAGAGAGCTGGCTACAGAGAAAAGTGTAATTAACTTTGCAATAATTGATCAATAAGCTGTAGCTTATACTGTTTTTCTCTCCTGCAGTTTATTTGCATGTTCTAGATGTTGTTTTTTATTACTTGCTAATTGTCCCAAATTAGAGGCTGGGATCATGAAAAACCTGATGATAGGTGCTTTTGAAAACCAATAGTAAATAGTGGTAAACCAAAGCTGAATGTATCCTAAAGTATAAGTCTGAGAAATTACATGTAGGTCTCTGAACAAAGTGGGCTGAATGTGTTTGGTCTCAAGGGACTTTTTCAAACTAATTGACACCAGGAGTAAAAGAAATTTTGTTTGGTTACCAGTAGAGATGGTTATGAAGTTTAAATTAGGCTATTACTGGGTCTGTAATGCTCATAATGCTTTGTCCTGTGCTATTTTGCCCAGAACAATCAAGTCCATTGGCATTCTTTAAGTTGCTTTTCCATTTTCTCTTCAGCAGCATAGAAGGAAAAATGTGTTATCAAGATCTGTTTTTCAACATAATTTAAGAATACAAAACAACCAGAAATGAGATTATACATAAAGCACTGGACTGGGGCATGGAATGAGAAATGCTTTTAAGAATCCATTGATTAGGTTAGGGTCAGAAACTTGTGAACAATGATGATGTCTAACTCGCACTTCACAAATACCACCCATATGATACATGCAGGCACCTTCAAAGTGCATATCTAGCTCATACTTTATCATACCTAATACAGCACTTTCCTTCTGAGCAGGTACTGTGTGGAATTTAAAACAGAATCACTTTCACACCACTGTGCTCTGGAGAATCGTCCGTACGCACGCTGGATGCAGTACCTACGTGAGGGACACACGGTGTGTGTGGCCTGTCAGCCTCCAGCCATGAACACTGACACGCGCCGCTGTTCTGGGGATGGCCACAGTGCAGATGGGTAAAGAAAACCATTTTTCTGCTGTCTCTTCTGTAGCAAAACTCAGGACAGAAATTAAAAGTTCTCAAGGTATCATTAGAAGCTGCATTTATTATACCTAAAAAATGAAACAGCTCCTATCACTTGTAGAGCTCAGGGTTACCCTTTCAGTTCTCACAGGAATTGCTTTTAAAACCTAGATAAAATTGGGAAGTAATTTCAATATTGAGTTCAATGCTTTGTATGTTTTATTTATTATTGCAAAGGAATTATGCAACTTCTAGTGCAAGAGGACTTTTTACAGCTATGGGCACTTTTACTTAAAAACAGTATTTCCTGCCATAATCCAAATCTGATTGCAGGTTTAACAGTGGTGGATCAGGACTCCTCTCAAGCTTATATACCTGGTTCCTAAAAAATTAAGTGTGAAAGCAGACATTTAATATTCAGAACATATTTTTATTTGATCCATACATTTATTAACATCCATACTACTTAATACCTGCACAACCAGTTATCAATCCTGCATACTATACTTTTTAAGAGCTAGATGAGCTACAGTCTTGCATGATTACACAAATCTATCTGACATGTTATACAACACAGCCTAGTAACACAAAATGCAGAGTTTTCTAATTCCTCTTTATTGTCACATTGCAGAAGTAAAATCTTACACTGGGAAGCAGTTGGCAACTCTCAGTGCCAAGGAACCTGGAAGAAGATTAGACAACTGGAACACTGTTCATGTCCCCTGGTGCATAGCTTTATTTTTACATAAAAGTTTAAAAGACCTTTAAAATGGAAACAACAAGAAGATTAAGAAAATTAACACCAATGCCAAGAAACCTACATCTATCCACTGCATTTTCTGGAGCCTAAACAAATTTTCAAGGAGCCCGAACTATAGCAGAAGCATTTCAGGAAACTCTGCCTTAACACTAAATGCTAGGACTGGTCTATTAGAACACTAGAAGCATGTTTCCAAGTGCCTTTTTTTGTAATGAAAGCGCTAATCTTTCTAACCACAGTAGCTTTTCCTGAAGTTCTCATTCTTTACTAGCCGCAGTCTAGTCTACGGGCACTCAGTAGTGAGCCAGCCAAACATTCTCAAGTCTGAGAATAGCTCCTGTCATAGCAAGAAGAAATAAAAACCTAAGTTTGAGAGCCAAAACCAGATTTCAGTTTAGATCCTTTGTTCCTTCCCAATGCCATCTAGACAACTGTTTATACTACAAGTGCACAAGTATTTGTCCTTTACATTGCAGTTTTCATGTTCAGCCACCTTCATAAAGATGTACAACTAGTCAGTCTTTAAGGAATAAGTCTTCTCAGAATCTGATGTCACTAACACTGTGTGAACTTTGTGGCACACAAACCTAAACAAGATTCTGTGACTAAAGCCATGGCTAACATTAAAAAAATTACTTATTGTTTGTTAAAACCGCTCATGTGCAACGATTAACACAAACTTGCAACATTTGTCTGCTATGCAGGTAGCTCAAATCCTTGTTTTGTTACCTACAACTTACTTTGAATTACTGCTACAGCACTAAAGAGGCTGCATCCTGCGCTTTCTCACTTGTCAAATACCTGCTATGACTTTTCAAATTGTTGGCTTACAAGTCCTCTAGCATTTCTTGCTGAAGGACAAAGCCTATATATTATTGAGATCCTGAAATTCACAATGTTTGCTAAAAAATATGCTGTAAGGCTGAGACAATTTACTGTTAAGACATGCAGCATCCCTGTGGAACCTAAATACCACTCACAGCTGTTCCTAGAAGCTGCAAGAAGCAGCTGTAGCATCTGGTGGCAAGAATAAGGCAGGTGATCTGGCTGAGGTCTTGTCCACAATAAGAGCGTGAGACAAACCTTTCTAACTGTACTTTACCATTTTATCTTAATAAAAACAGGCCTCCAAAACAGAAAGCAGAGAGACATTTCAGGCTATCTCTTCAGGAATATATCTCTTCCTTTGTAACCATTATGATTATCTGAGAGATTTATTTTATTATGACAATTTGGATAGATGCTTTTCTGTGCAGAGTTCTTGGAGCATAAAAACCTTACCTAAGGACAAAGATACATAAAACATCCGAATTGAAGGGATTGCGCTTTTAAAGGAATGCTGTGATGTCAAATCTTTAGATTCACACCAGATTACAGTGGAAAGTATGAATTTTATGAGGGTGTGGAATTCTTTTCCAAATAATCTGAATCAGGAGAGACAGCATAGTGCTGTCATCCATCTGTTAGTCTCATGAGATTTACAGTGGCCAGCTGACACTGATAGTTACCCCATCAGAGCATATCTTTGCTTCCAATCACTGCAGATAGAGGGAGTGGAGAGCACAATGAGACATGTCTCAAACACTGTAGTGCTATTATGCCAACATACATAAATTCAAAATAATCTAGAACTTCATCTTAAGCATTTAAAAAAGCCCAATCTAGTACCTTGCTACTTAAAAATGTAAAATTACATGAAGTAACACAGTATCAGTTTGTAGAATTAGTAACACCAATATATACATATTTTTCGGTATAACTCACTGACAGAGATGACAAGTCTGACCAAAATTTCAGAGTAAAGCAAATCAGATTAGAATGGGTTATATGGCAGAAAATAAGATGATAAAAAGCTCAATCTGACTAGAAATACAATCCTTCAAAAATACACAACACTTGGCTTCATAATAGCCTCTACCTGCAAACATTTTCACGGTTCAGAATTAAGGTCATCTATTGCATGTGGCTAAGAGGCTTGGCTTCACATATAAGTCATCATTACCTCAGCAAGTGAGCTTACATGAATGTTTTATACCTGTTCTGTTTCATGTTTTAGGACAACAACAGTGCTAGACACTCTGCAACTAAAATAGGTTGT